TCGTTGCTATTCTTCTTACCGGCGCTCTTTTCAGCGCTTGGCACTAGTTCATTTGGACTCGTTCATTTAAACTCGCTATTGTTTGTCTGTCAGCGACGTCGCGGCCCCTAATCAACGCGCCCTTATCTAGCCAATTTGTTTTTCTCAGTGTGTATACACTGCAGCTTCGTCAATGCTTTTCATGTGTGTGTATGTGTGTGTGAGTGCGCGAGGGTTTGTATTTGTGCGAGAATTTTTTGCTTATCATTTTGTTGCCCTGCTTGTTGTCTCTGAACGTGTGGTTGGGTGTGGCGGGGTGTGGTGGGGTTGGGGTTATGTAGGGGCAACCGGCTGTTCATTTGTGTTATGTGAATCAAAACTTTGTTGTTGTTGTTGTTGCTTTGATTTCGCGTTTGCTATGCTTTTATTTTGTGCTGTTTTTTTAACGTCAAATGCCATTGAAAGTGGATATTGACATGTTATGTGCGGCAATTCGATTACGAACAGCAACAACAGAAACAACAACAACAGAAACAACAACAACAAAAACAACAACATCAACAAACAACAAGAATATACATAAGTTATTAACAGCAATAACAATGTGCATTGTTGGAGTTTTGTCAATAGAATTGAATTATGAACTTCTTTTATTTTCTTTACATCTTTTTTCTTTGAAATATACAAAAGCACACGACATTTGCATTTAACATTTTTAAATTTATTCTGTGCCTTTTACTTGTTATAGTATACAGATTGGCATGCCCCATTTAAAAGAAAACGTTTAAAGATTTTCAACTAATAACATTGTAGTTGACGGCCTTTCTATTCGTAGAGCCTCTCGAGATAAATCATGTGACAGACGAACAGGAAGGAGGTGCAAAATTGGCAATAGTTTCCGACTGTTTTTTGTTGTCTTAAAAGTACAGATAATGAACTTTAATCAATTAAACACAATTCGATATGGCACTGCTGGTTGTTTTTTCATTCGGTTCATCAGATATACTCGGTTTTGATGTTATAGAATGGTGTATTGGTTTTTCAATGTAATTTATTTTTCGGCTTTAGTTAGTTGAGTGTTTGCCACAATCATTGTCGCGGATTGCAAAAATGATTATTTTCAATACTTTCCGAACCTTCTCTTTACACAACGTATACTATTCCCACTATCATAGTTTGGGAGAAACTGTGATTGGATAACATTTCTAAAGTCACCCACTAGCCACATAATTGGTCGGGAGCATTGGAAACAGAGTGTCGGGCAGTCGGGCGATTTCAATTGTCATGATTTGAATTCAATTGCTGTCAGACAATTATAATGAAATTGATTTGCGTCTAAAAATAGCAACAACGCAATTGTTATGCATAAACGAAAAGCACACAAAAATGCAAAAAAAAACATAAAAAGGCGAACACGTCACAGTTCAAATCCATTTAGGATGATTGTCAGGGATTGTCGGTGAGGAGGAGACCAGTTGATAACGACACAGCTTATCACTTATTTTATTTATCACGCGTATATATGTGTATGTATGCTTGGATGTGTCTGTCTGTGTGTATTCCTACACATGCAATTTTTTGTGTATATATTAAAGTGTATGTTTTCCGGTTTTAATACCCTTGTAGAGGGTATCATCATTATACCCTGAACCCATTAAAAATGGGAAGAATGGAATAATGTATTTGTGCAAGTGTATGTAACATGCAGAAGGAAGTATCTCCGACCCCATAAAGTATATATATTCTTGATCAGCATCTAGCCATGTCCGTCTGTCTGTCCTTCTGTCCGTCCGTCCGTTTGTATGAATGCAAGGACCCTAGAGCCTATAAGAGCTGCAGACTTGAAATGAATGTCCTTCATGAAACTTGATATAGGTTCGTCTTTCCGTTGCAGACTAGTGGTTCTTGTATGAAAAACTCTTTGATATATCTATATCATATAGCTGCCACAAGAACAATCGGTTAAGTTCTTGTAAGAACTTTTTTGTTTGTAAAAATAACCGGCATTTACAATTTAAACTTTTCTGTTGATGTATGTGTCAAATCCTATCAATATCACACTACTGTATTACATAGCTCTATAGGAATAATCGGTTAAAAACTGAGTTTTTATATTGCACAATATTCTGTTTATCTAGATATTTTCCCAAACTCGGCACTTATGAGCTTTACTATTCTCCAATATCAGCAAAGCCGCAAGGCAATTGTCTACAAGAGTATTAAATGTTGGGCGTGGTGGAATTAGCTCGCGTTTTATTGTTTACTTTAAGTCTCATTTATTTTTTGGCCACCGCCTCTCCCGCCACTTATAAAATAGATCCGATTTTGCTAGCAGTTTGACAAGCATTGTGAGATTCGAAATCAATAATTTGAAAAATTTGTGAAAATTGCTTTGGGTAATGTGAAAAATTGTACTTGTTGTTGCTGTTGTTGTTGTTGTTGTTGTTGGGGTGACACTCGCTTGTCTAGTTCCCTTGGGGACTTTCTGTCTATGACCAATTTTTAGACTCAATTCGACCGCATCGCTGTCGCTTCTCTTTCCTATTTGCTTTAAGTTTTTGTTCGATTTGCGCTAGATTTATTCATGGCGCTTTTCCAACACGTTTCTACGAATATGTGGGTGTGTGTATGTGCGCTCGTGTGTGTGTGAGTGTGTATGGAAAGCCAGCAAGCTTTTCTACAAAAGAGTTTTATTTTTAGCCAGTGGCTTATTTTTAATTATGTATCGATTTTGTATCTATCTTTGCTCTACATCTATATCTATTCCTTTTGACTACCTTTGTGGCTTTAATATTTTCTCCGCTGAAACTAGTTTTTGTTGGGAACTTTGCTTATAGATAAAAGTTAAAAGGTTTTCTAGAAAACAAAGCCGAAACTAATTCTTTAAAACACTAGACTAACGATGTATTAAACTTCTACTAATATTTTAGTTCTCGCCAATATTGCTAAGAGTATTGATAAGAAACATAGTTAAATTACCGGATTGTACCTATTTAAAAAAAAAAAAAGAAGTGAAAGAACCTTTTTTGTTACTGTTACTAATAATGTTTAAAAAGAAAAAAATCAGTGCAAGCCATTAGCTTTGATAACCTTTAATATCTATCTATTATTACGAAATTTATTAAAATTATTAAAGTAACACGTAACACAGAAGTTTGAAGTAAATTTTCGAGTTCTACAATGCTTGATAGACCAGAGTGTACTTTCAATTGGTTGTTACGATATAACAGTTATTTGACTGTATGTGTGGATGTATGCTTGAGTGTGTGTGTGGGAGGGAGGGAGGGGGTATATTTAGTTTCCTTTTTGCAACCTAGAAACCGGTCAATGATAGTCGGGCCAGCTGTGTGTTTCTCCCGATACCAACTGTGTATCTTTTTCTCACATTTAATTCATAAAACGAATAAGAACAAAGGCAAAAAAGACGAGAGAAGCGCGGAATCTGAGTCTTTCTCAGAGAGAGGTCGAACTTGTTTGCGAAGAGCAAAAAAAAAATAATAAAAATGAAGCAGTGTAAAGCGAACGACCCGAAAATACTTACGAGCTGTTGAAACTCAGCTCCGGAGCTCGCTGTGAAGTTCGTCGCGACGATCGATCGATGGATTGGTTTGAACCAGTTTTGGCTGCAGGATATTGAGCCATAAAAAACGGGCAGGCCACAAACAAGCAACAGGCAGCAACAGCGAGGAGAAAACTCGTTTCTTCTTTGAGTTTCAATTCGATTTAGTCCGTTGCCTTCCCTCGCCCCACTCCCACTACCCACTTCCCTCTCTTTCCCTACACACACACGCATACAGTGACAGCGATTTGGCTGCTAGTTTGCAGAAAGTTTGCTGTTATTGCCTTGGGTTTAATGGTTATCGGCGGTTTATATTCTTTTTCCTTAACATCAGTGCTTAACGGTACAATTATCGCTGTTTCGTATTGCCTGTGTGTGTGTATGAGTGATAGTAAAGAAAGAATTACATATACAAATATATGCATATATTTCTTTCAAAGCTCCAGATTGGGAAAAATATAACAAAAGATTTTTTTTTCGAAACTTGAGCAATTTGGAGTTTATATAGTAATTGGTTTTAAATTTATGCAGTTTGTTGGTTCTGTATTACGTTAGCTTATGATCGGCACGGTTTTTGTGTTAGGTTAGCAAAAACTTGTAGAAGACATTCAGAATTTTAAATTGCCAATTATTTACGATAGTATATTTTATACTATAGTATACTTAATCGAACCGCTTCTAGCTGTTTGAAGGGTACGTGATTTGGTACATAGACAGTGTAACAATATGTCAGAGCTATAAATCCTTTGGACTGCAATCCCTCTTTGGTAGATTGGGGCGTCCAAATGAGGAAAATTTTTTTTTCTTTTCCAAATCTTAACTGGTGTTAATGATCGATATGTTAAAAAGCTTATTAAACATTCAACAAATAAGTATAAACTACATTTTAGCCTAAAAACAAAATAACGATCCCTAAAATCGGTTTAGAAATGTGATAATTAAGGTCATATATGAAAATTCCCGAAAAATGTCCATAAGAAATGGTAAAAATCCGATATACTTTAAGAATCTTTTAAAAAATGTACCAAACATGATATCTATCTAATCTTACAGGTTTGCCGCAGAGAAAATCCCCATTTGGCTACATAATGTGATTTTGTGCATATCTATATTCTGACCAAAGATATTGTCTTTGGTTTTACACACTAGATCATAAATATGTTCATGTTCTTATGACATGATTTTAATTTTTCTTTTATTTTTATTTATTTGGAGATTGTGGCTTCCGAATTATTTAGTACATAAAATTATGTTAATTAAATAGTAAGAGCCTAATTTTAAAACACAATTTTCTAATAGCATCACCGACCGATGAAGATGTTTGATTTGCCCGTACGGCTAGCTATACCCCTTTTGTCAGTGACGCTATTAGAGCCTACAGCTAAGAAGAAGGGTGTTAGTAGAGAAAATAGTGTTCTTAGGATAAAGACCCGGTGGGCGGAAATTTATAGCCTGTCCGGCAAGCTATACCCCTACTCATACCCCTCTTTCCGATGAAGCCTTTGACGAAGCTGGTAAAAATGGCGGCACATAAATCGTTTCGTATCAAGCAGAAATTAGCTAAAAAGCTGAAGCAAAACCGATCAGTACCACAATGGGTTTGCTTGCGGACTGGAAATACTATACGGTACTGCGCCAAACGTCGTCATTGGAGGCGCACTAAGTTGAAGCTGTAAATTTATGGATATGCAGTTTTTGTAATTTCAATTTTCCAAGAATGAAATAAATGTATTGAAACACAAAAAAAAATTGTCAGTAAGTTACCGAAGGTATCCTGTAAGCAACGATTTTATTAGGGGTAGAGAAAGTTCGGTGTAGAAAACGTTATACACCTTTGGCCTCATTAACGATGGTAGCTATATGAAGATAGAAGCAGAGCTTAGAATAAAAAAGAACCCTAGACAGACGGAGAGGGCAAGTGCAAAAATTGTGACTGTAACCGGTGATTGGGTGGAGACTCGAATTCATATTTGCTAAGCAACTCGAAACTCGGGTCAAAGTTACTCGAGAGCTGCTTAGCCACATTAAGTGAGAGTGAGAGTGCAGAACGAAACGAAAAACGGTGCCCAAAAGAAAAGAGCAAGCAAAAGTTAAAAAATATTCGTACACAAACAAATTATTGTTTGGAGCAAAAGGCAACAGCAACATTTTGTGAGAGCGCGATGCACAAGCAGAAATATGCACCAGCGAACACACGCACAAAAAAGCCGCGTTCAATAAATGCAATAATTAATAAACTTACGCTGCCCAACAGATAGTACTTTACACAACTAATAAAAGCTTTTCGAATAAAGCACAAAAAAAGGCAAAATTTAGAAACAAAAAGCAGGATGGAAGCCCACAAATATATACATATATAATATATATACACGTCAATCACTCTCAACTGAGAACTCTCTCTTTAAGTACATATTTATACAAATGGAGCTGTAGAGAATATTAAATTAATTGTACGTTTCTTGAATTTAGTTTTCATCTTCAATAAGATTATTAATGCTTGCTAATATTATCATCTACTTTCTGCTGGCCAATGCAGGTTTGGCCCCGGATACTTATTTTCCTATTACCTTGACTTTAGGTCAGGGCAACTGGCTATAATCGACCTTAGTCAACCGCATTGTGTTCCCCTTGAGTTTCCTATTGCCTGGCGTTCACGCGTGACTGGGCGGGCGGTGGGCTGGATGATGAGGCAGATGTTGCAATAATTTGAATAATTGACCTGGCATTGAACCAGATTTGCAACTGCTATGAATTTTCACGCCACGCCCAAGTCGCAGCACAAATTGTGAATTCCAAGCAAAGAGACTTAAATGGCTTTTGTCTTAATCAAAAAACAAATATATATATATATATATATATACATTTGTATATGTGTACCCATGCTTTCAAAAGCGTAGCTCACGCGCTAAGCGAGTGAGTCACCCACTTCGGTTGCCGTCGGTCCGTTGGACGGCAACGTTCCGCGCGGGCGGGTACATTTTACGGCCGCGTAGCTGGCCAGAGGAGTCGTCAGTTTCTATGATTGGCTGCGGCTTGTCTGTAACTGTCTTTGTTGTGGCTATTTAAATATGAGAGCGAAAACTTTTGTGTCATTGTCCTTTGTCACGCCAAGCAAGTTTGCATGTGTACTCTTTCTTATTGGGTTGGAGTCCTTAAACTATGTCATTCTGTTGGATTTTCATCTTTAAGCATTCAAGTATCGTTGTATGCCCAAGTGCCTTGAATTTCATGTGTAAAATCTCATGCTCAGTTGGATAATTATTTGTGAAGCATCTGCCAACATGTACGTTGGTTCGGTTCACGGTTCGAACTTATGCCTCGAACTAATGATATGAATCCTGTGCTTTGGTTAGAGCCTTGGTTTTCACTTATTTGTATATATTTAAAGTAAAGTATTCAAATAGGTTTTTTTTAGTGGTTTTAACTTCAGATCGCAAAAAGATGGATACATTTTGGGTGTAATTAAATCATTTTAGTTTATTGTGATTGATCATAAATTTTGATATATTGTTCTACTAATCAAGTTGGCCGTTTAAATGTAAGAGTGAATTCGATATACGTACTTAAAGCTAGCCGCAAAAGCGTGTAGAACTTATCTAGATATGGTTAGCCAAAATTTTTCCTTGGACACATTTTATTTATGTAGTCGGCCAATAGAATTTCAATGATCGGATCACACAGATTTTCGGAACTCACAGTTGTTGAAGGAAACCAGTTGAAATTTCAAAAAATAAAATAAAATAAAATATAAAAAAAAACACAAAAAAGTTGCTTTGCTTTTGTAGTCTCTCAAAATTGAATGTATCGCATACATAAAAAAAACGAGTACGTACTTACAAATGAAACACAACAAAAACGACAAATAAACAGCCGAGAGAACGTCTTGTATTTTCGCGACATTCGCGGGTGTGTTATATATTTTTAAGACGCTTTGTTTGCGTTCTGTCAATTTGATTGTTGAATGTTAATTGTTTTATATGGTTTGGTGAGACTTGTAATAATGGCGCCCAAGTTGATAGAAAAATTTAAAACCTATCTCAGGTTGTTGCATCCGCACACGCACACACCCAAACACGCACATACACACACACACACGAAGACATGTGTATATTTAACTATATAATGTACTAATCCATCCTTTAACCATTCTCTTTCCAGTGGAGGTGGTCCACAGACGACAACTGCCGGTCCATCCGCTGGTAATGTGGCAAATGCTACCCTTGCCGGTGGTAAGAGCACAAGCAATAACATGTATTCCACCCGCCAATCTGTGAGCACCACGACCGGTGTGCTTATGGTTGGACCAAATTTTCGTGTCGGTAAAAAAATTGGCTGTGGTAACTTTGGCGAATTGCGTTTAGGTAAGTTCTCCTCTCTCTCTCTCTCTCTCTCTCTCTCTCTCTCTCTTTGTTTATTTAATATTTGGGGGAATATGTTTGGCACAGATTAAGTTGTCGCAACACAAGCAAACCTTGGTTCGACACATTTTTCAGCTTAAATGAGAAGAATGTAATATTCACTTTTTAAATATTATGAATGGGTTTAAAGTAGTTTAGCGCTTTTAATCTACTTAAAATTTAAAAGGAATTTATTGATAAAGTAAAGGGGCAATGACACGAGACAATTTGGAATAAAATACGTAATACTATGAAATCGTGTTTCGTGAACAAAGTTAAATTATGTTCGCGATAACGACCGATCTAACGCTGTTATAGCGATTAAAGTCTAGCGTAGAGCCATAATTAAAAAAATTTTGCATTTATGTTTCCAAATGCTACAAAAAATAGCTTGGAGCCAATTAATTGTTTTTTCAATCCGAATTACGGTTGTGTTCACAGTAAATCAAAAATTTTGATTTGGGGCCTGAATAATGTACATAACTACCAAAATTAAGCACGTTGGCCGCGCCAAAATGTGCTTATTGAAGGTGATGGTATTCCAATTTTATTTGGATTTGAGTAATTATTGACAAATAGGTGAGGTGTTCGAAATTTGTTGCGCATTTTTCAAAACTGTGAATAGAGTGCTAAGCATTCTTTAATGTTGTATCTTTGACACGTAAACGTATTTATTTTCCGAAGCGGCAGAAATAACTGTCTGTTTCTATGCAAACTAGCGCTACCTATGTTGGGTGGATCTACAGATGATCACGATGTTTTTTTAAGTTCATATTAATTTATCCCAATGCGTTCCTTATTGGTCATATTACTATTACTAAAAACATTGTTATAATATAAAAATAGTTTGAGCAGTAATTTCGGGACCTTGAACTAACGTCGGTATCCGCGGGAATTTCGGGATCATGCTAACCTTCATACCTTTTCAGCATTTGGCGAAACCCGCGGGATTTCTTATGTCGATTCGATTTCTAATCTCTATATATAAAACTGTTTGGCCTGACTGACTGACTGACTGATTGGTGATCAACGCACAGCCCAAACCGTAACAGCTAGGAAGCTGAAATTTTCACTGTAGTTACCTTATGTGGTGTAGGTGCACGTTAAGACGGGGTTTCGGGAAATTCCACCCGCAAGTGTGGAAAAATCGTAAAAACGTTTGTATGTAACTTTTTTGTTTACCATACGATCGGCCTCGAACTTATTTTCAAATATCTTTGTTCAAATTCATTTGAGGGGTGTTTCACACTTTTAGGAAAATCCATTCCTCCTTGGTGGAAATGTAGGTCAAAGATTTGGTGGGTGACGTTTCGCGCTCAAATTCGTTTCCAAAGATCTATAAGAAAAATCATTTGATACGTGTTTCACACTTTTCGCAGAATTCAAACTTTTTCGGGGGGAATGCGATTCAAGGATTTTTTTTGTGCGAAGTTTTAAGTTGTGTCCGATTTGCTTCAATCTTATTTTCAAAGCTCTACAGAAGAACTTAATAAATACGTATTTCAACGATTTGGGAAATTCCACCCGCAACAGTGGTAAATTGGCGGAAAACGCCAATGAAAAATGAAAGTTTTTTGTTTACCATCCGATCGGCCCCAAACTCATTTTCAAAGATATATGTTAAAATTCATTTGAGGGGTGTTTCACACTTTTTGAATAATCCATCCCTCCTTGGTGCAAATGGGGGTCGAAGATTTGTTGGATGACGTTTTGTGTTTTAAGTTTTAAGTTGTGTCCGATTTGCTTCAATCTTATTTTCAAAGCTCTACAGAAGAACTTAATAAATACGTATTTCAACGATTTGGGAAATTCCACCCGCAACAGTGGTAAATTGGCGGAAAACGCCAATGAAAAATGAAAGTTTTTTGTTTACCATCCGATCGGCCCCAAACTCATTTTCAAAGATCTATGTTAAAATTCATTTGAGGGGTGTTTCACACTTTTTGAATAATCCATCCCTCCTTGGTGCAAATGGGGGTCGAAGATTTGTTGGATGACGTTTTGTGTTCAAATTTATTTCCAAAAATTTATAAGAAATATCATTTGAGACGTGTTTCACATTTTTCGCAAAATCTAAACTCCTTCGGTGGAACATGCATATCAAAGATATTTTTGGTGAATTTTAAGTTTTGTCCCGTCCGATCCGTTTCAAAATCATTTTCAAAGCTTTTTGAAAACATTGATTTTATAACAGACGTGCCACGGGCAAGGCCGGGTTAGTATATATGTATATAGCTGACGTAGGAAGTATCTGTCGAAAATGAAGTTTTTGTCATTTCCTCTTATTAGATATAATATCTATCATGCAGTAGGCCCATAATAGTGTTGTATTGGAATAGTGGTTTTGTTTCAAAGAATATTTGTTTATAGTAATTATTGTCAACTTGTGAATCTCAAGAATCAAATGCGATACGAATGAATTGTGGAACTTGAGAATCGCGGAGAAGCAAAGTCAAATGAAATTTGAAATGCTTGCCTTTTAAAACTGTAAATCAACAAAAAAAAAAGAATGCCAAGAGAACTTGAGCACAAGGCAAACTTTTATTCAGTCAGTGGGCCAACATAACAGTGTCTCAACTTATCAAATCTGAACAAAATCGTACATCATTAGTCAGTGCATTTTACTGCACCTTGTAAGTTGATTGCGAGAAACGTGCGTCTCATAACTGTAAAGAAGTTGTAAATTATGTTTATGACTCAAGAAAACTTGATTTTCCTCTCTTCTTTATCCGTCTCTCGCTCTTTCTTTCGCCGATGCTTTTGAATACGACGAAGTTTAACGACGAGTATTTTTGGATAGCCATTTTCGTTACTTCCTTTGCATGTGCATTCCTTTTCATGGCTGCCAAGAGCGCAGAATGACGCGAACAAGACTGAGAAACAACAACCACAGACCACAATGAGAACTTTTTTTACAATACAAAATAAAACGCCATTCCATTTAGCCATCTGTTTTGTCGTCGTCGTCGTCGTTGTTGCTGTTGTTGCTGTTGTTGTTGCAGTTGGCATCGCCACTTTTGCTTTGTTTGCTAAATGCGCTTTTATAAAATTGTGTTTTTCTTGTTGCTACTTCTTTTTTTTTTCTTCTGGGCTTGCTACTTCCTTTTATGCATTTGCATGCAGCTGTTGTTGTACTTGTCATTTTGCCAACAGGTAGCTAAGCCAACGTCCAGTGCTGCTGAAACTGTTAAGCAGCTATAGCCGCGTTCCTATGAATAACAACTAATTGCATCCGCCCCAACTTTGTATCTCGTTTTCTTACTTATTCTTTAAATCACGTTTTTTTGTAAAATTTCTTTGTATCTTTTATTATCCTCAGCTAGGTAATCTTTCAATGTCTGAGCTTTGGTTTTGTTTTCATTTAGTGCTCGGTTTGCTCTTTCCATATGAATGTACATACATACATATGTCTGTAAATTGATGCATGAGTCACACTGCGAGCTCTCTAGCAGGTATATGTGTGTATAAATAATATATACTCGTTTATACAAATGGAGACTTTAAAAAAAATCTGTGTTTAATTAGCACATGTGTACATGGTGTTATATATCGATTTAGTTTTCTATTCTGTGCTTATTTATTAACTATAACAAAGGTAATAAAGGAACGTGTAACTTTTCCACTTCCGTTTTTTTTCTTTTTCCGTTTACATACGGAAAACATCTTTTTGTCACTCTTACTGTTTTCCGCATTGCCAATTAATAATAGTAATCTTAAAAATTTTAATTACGCCCAGAGCTTTTCAATTTGCTGATTGTACTTTTTGTTAAATCCTTATTTATATATTTAGTTTTTCAACTCAAAAATCAGTCTAGCTTAATTGACACTTAATATTCCTTATAATAATGTTTGTTCGCTTTGGGAAGATATTTTAATTTGAAAATAATTATTTAATCCGTTTGTTCTATATATTACACAAATTTCAAATAGTTTTCCAAAACATAAATTGAAAGCAGCTTTAAAATAAGTTTTAATATCAGTGTCAGTTTTCAGTTTTATGTACTATTCTAGTATTTTTATTACCTATATTTTAACAGGCGTTATTTAACAGTGCGTTGCGATTTGACTGTTATTTAACATAGCTCGAGATGCGAACGATTTTTCACTTTCAAGATTACGTGTTTTTAATTGTTGTGACGTCACTTTTATAATATGAATGCCTATAATTTTCGTTGTAATTTTTATAAATTGCAACTCTAGTATTTGTAAGTTGCGTGTGCTTCTTATTTATGAAATGTACAAATGTTTGCGGGTGGCATCAACAAGATGCGCGCCAATAAAAGCTTGTTTTTGATAATCAAATATTTTAAATAGCTTCTAGCCTATATTTGTTGTCTGCAATATACATATATGATATGGTGGAAGTAAGTTATTATTTCATTACGTCTAGGTCTATTTTTAAATGCGGCGTGCGTGTGGGCAGTGGACATTTAATATTAAAGTAGAATGTGTAATACTATGTTGTTGTTATTATTGGTCAATTTCTGTTTGTTTAGTTTATTTTGGAAGCCGTTCTATTGTTTATTTTAGATACACACAAAGCTCCTTTGTAGTATTTGTAGATTCGTCAATTTATGATAGAATCACACAGTGTGTTTGTGTATGTTCCTGAGTGTACATACATACACACAGTGTTTAATGTTTTTGTTTTTGTATATTGCGTTAGGTCGGGAAAGTTTTAGTTACGCTTGAATAATGGCACGCTTATAAAGTTTCAGAGAAATGAATGGAAATTGGGGCTAAGAGTTCCATTGCTTGTATTAAAATTAAACTATTTGAGCAAGTATACAATTGTGTATTCGCTAGATCGTTAGTTACAGTTTTGGGTATCTTCCGTCCCGATAACAGTGCTCACTCGTAGCTTTACAAGTTATTCAACTATTTTTCCGTAGTTTGATTTAACTGGGCCAGGCTTACGCCGTATTTTTCCTCTTCTATTGATCAGATCTATTAATTGTATGACGTGTACGGCGCTTTAAGCTTTAATAGAAAACTATTAATTTGAAGATTTTCGGTGTAAATGCAATTAAATGATTTCCTAAAATTAAACAGTTTTGGAGAAATATTTATCACAAATCTTTTATAAAAACGTTCTGTTCTTGCGCTTCAGCAAATTTCATAGTCAGCTGCAAAAAGTCGGAGACATTTTGTTTACGCTCTGAGTATATTCGGGTTAAAAAGAATAAAAAATTGGCAGAAACCGCCAAAGGAGAATTCTGTTGGTAGAGTATTTTTGAATAAGTAAATAAACAAACAATTTACTCAACGCAAGCGGGAGGCGCGACAAGTCGTAGGGTGTTGCTCTGATTGTTGCAATCAGAGTCATGCGGCTTTTCCACATGAATATCCAAATGTTTGTGTGCATGCGTGTGTTAAATGTCGTCAATGTTGTGGAGAACGATAAGCTTCGCCTTTCCCCCTATTGAGGCGTTGTCAGTCATGACATAATTTCACACCTGTGCGTTTACGCCGCGCAGTCAACGAATTGACGTAGAGGGTATTATAATTTTGTCACGAAATAAATAGGTAACGCATAGAAGGGGACGTCTCCTACCTAATAAAATATACATATGTATATATTTTTGATTATTAACAGCCGAGTCGATATAGCAACTTCTGTTTATTATTGAATGTCATTGTAGTCAGTACTGGACCACTATGTCATATAGCTACCATAGAATGATCGGTCGAAAATTAAGTTCTTTTATCGACAACTCATGTTTTTCAAGATATCTTGACTCAGATATTACGAGTTTCACTGTTATCCAAACATATCTGCAAAGCCTTATCAAATCGAACTATGAACCATATCATATGGCATCTATAGAGGGTTGGTCGGAAATAAAGCTTTTATATAAGAACCCTTCTGAGCCATACGCGGGGGCTTTTATGTATTTTCGGCATGTAAAAGATTCCTGTCTATTCTAGATAAAACAGATTTGTATAGCTAAATAATAGTATAAATTAAATATGTTAATTCAAAAATCACAATTCACATGTGGGTCTTCATCTAAGTTTCAAATTATGTTATTTAATTATTATGAGTTCCGATAGTTAATGAGCAAAATCTATTCTTGCTTGTTATTTTTGATTTAAAGACGTTCAGCCAGCGCTATTTGTCATTTGAGAGTATGGAATTTAACATCGTTTGTAAAAATGCATATCTATTTCATTTTAACGTTTTAATCAGAGTTATAGATTGATTTCCGACGGCTTATGACACTCCTGGATTATCACATAAATCAATTTTGTTGCTTCAATTGGTCCCTTAGGGTCTTAGAAATAACATGTTAAAGGAATTACGTTCTTTTCTTTAAACGAAGTTCTATTTCTTTACAAATGTTTTCTATATTCGATTTGACAATTTCGGAGATTAATAAAAAATAGGTTCAAATTCAACAATATATCAGTTTTTGGCATCAAATGAAATGGGTATCGGACAGATCGATCAACTACCTACGTGTTCTTTTTTAAATCGTTTTTCAAATTGTGTTCTCTTAATGGTCAGGTCGTCGCATGTGTTGCTTTGGAGGCGCTCCTGCTGGTGGGCGTGGCGCTGATAATGCTACAGGTATGAGGGGACATCTGCATGCTGGCTAGTTTGTGATTGGATAGTTAGTTCTGGTCAGTTGCAGTTTCGCTCTTGAGCATGATTTGCATTTTATGTGTGCACATATCTTTATGTGTGTGTGCGTGTGTGTGGGAGTCTTGTGAGTGTAGGCATGTCTCGGGTTGATTTTGATTTAATGTTTTTCTTTTTATTTAAGATTGTTAATACATTTTCTTCTTTTCTTTTGCAGGAAAAAATCTTTACAACAATGAACATGTAGCAATAAAAATGGAGCCTATGAAGTCAAAGGCTCCGCAACTACACTTAGAGTATAGGTTTTATAAGCTATTAGGATCACATGGTATGTTAAATTGTCTTTATTATAACACAGAATATACACATTTTCCCTACCCCTATATAACACTAACAGAAATAAAAACAACTAACAAAAAGAAATGTCATGATACAAAACAAAAAATATATAATTTTTTTCCATGCCCGTTTGTCGTCCTTTTGACAAATTGCTAACCCAATCCTACTTACTCCAACTACCGCTCCAATAAAACTATGTTTTGCACCGTTACCACCTTCGTTAGTTTGTTAGTTTGATAAACAAACTCGTAAACTCAACTCTATATAACACTTTGAATTGAATTTGAGTGCTATAAGAATACACATAAGAAGACATGAATAGATTTTCTCAAGCATATATCGGAGGTCGGTGCGTCAATTAAATTACAACAAATATATTAAAAATAAAACAAAACTCAAACAAATTAATACTATTGTATATTTTGGAAACAGCAAAGCTGTGCTACCATTATATTCTTCTGATTTTATACCCACCAACTTACTATATGCTGATTTCTTAACTGAACATTATTACAAAAAATTTACGTTATTCTTTCGCCCGTTCTTTTTTTCGTTGTTCTTATATATATATATATATATATATATATATATTTATTTATTTATATATATATGTGAATTGCTCTGCTCCTTCATTAAACCATCAAAATCACCATACACCAATGAACTTCCGCTGTGAAATATGAAATTCGAAACCGATAAATGATATCGAAAATACTGAAAAACCTGTGTCAATAAATAACCATCGTGCGACAACCAATCAACCCACCACCCACCAAAACAATCGGCTGATTTCTTTTGCATAACACATTGTGATGGCATGGCACATACCCTATAAATCGATGCGCTCGCTCATACAGCCGAAAACGCCCCAGAAGGCATACCACGCATTTATCACTTGGGCACTTGTGGTGGCCGTTATAATGCCATGGTTTTAGAGTTATTGGGATTATCATTAGAAGATCTCTTCAATATTTGCTCCCGTAAATTTTCACTTAAGACTGTATTGATGATAGCGAAACAACTTGTAAGTTTATTTAAAATGCAATGCAAAAAAAAAATTTCGTTTGTTTTTGGGCGAGTTAGCGCGGATTTCACATGCCGCGAATGATTGCTTGATTATGTTTATAACAGTGTTCAGTGATCGCTGAGTCACTGAGGGACATGTGTGTGGCACTGTCCTCTCGCGAGCAATCGCGCTGCGAAGTTCTTACAGTTGTTAATCGAAACCATGTGAAGTCCGTGTTCTATTTCGCTCAAACTATTCTACACCATATTATTTCGATTTTAAACAACAAAGTGTCTCAACGGCTAAGCGTTTCATGTTAGCAACTTTTTTATTTTTCTATAAATTGATTGTAATAAAGAAACCTGAGAACACAACACAATGAACGTTAGTGTCAACATTTTATAGTTTCTGTAGTGGAACAATTTTGCCAACGAAATGAATATATATATCTCTGTTGTAGTTAAACATAATTAATGTTTTTTTTTAAAATTTTTTTTTAGTTCTTTGGGTTGTAGCTTATTTGAAACTAAATTGAAATCAAATTAAACCACCAATTAAATTAAAAAGCATGTAAACTAAGCGTCGTTAACAGGCAAGAGTACTTATAATGTTTCTATGTAAATAATAAAAAACATCATTCTATTTGTATACCAAAAAGCCAATATACGAAAAAAGAAAAACCAAAACAATTTCAAAAGAATATTTAATAACAACAGATTCTCGTTAGTTGCCTAAGTAAACGATTTTACCTATTCTCTTGATTTTTATTAATGACAAACTTTTTGTATGTGCTCTATGATTATCCTTATTTTAACCAACTACTAACACAAGCTCCAAGAAATATTTTGCTAAAGTGGTAAAGCAGCAACAGCAATAACACAATGGCCTCTTAAAAGCCTACACTTCACTGTTATACACTCGACTCTACACCTAAGTTAAGATTAAGTTTGGTCAAATACGCAGTTGAAGGAACTGTTATACTCTTATTTGAAGCGTAGTTATACGACATCTAGAGTTTCCCGCCCATATTTATGCAGCAGCATTTTAAAAGATTGTATATAATGGCAGGGTCGTTTTGTAGGCTTCCTCGTTATATGCTTCGAGAATCTCTATTTTTGTTGTTCTTGTTGTTTTTAGCACAGTTTTTCTGAAAATTTCAAGAGTGCTGAAGCTGAAAATAAAAAGGTGGTAATAAAACGTAAGACGCGCTTAACTAACCTGAAAGAGTCATATATCTCACTATCGCTCGCTCGCTCTCTCCCTTTTTCTCTCTTTTTCTCTCACTCTCTCTTCGTCTTCCTCACGTTGAACTCGGTGCTCCCTTAAAAAAATAAAACTGGAATAATACAAAAATACATATCTAAAATATTTGTTGTCTCTCTTACCTCACTCTCTTTATTCTCTTCTTTCTTATCTCTCTATCTTTCTCTCCTTATATTTGTCGATTTTTGCATAAAACAACAACAACAACAAACGTATCCCCAAAAACTACGTTACTTTCGTGCGCTGCCCAACACAAAAAAAAAACAATTAAAATGCATTTTATTCTACACACACATACTTTGAAAATTTCCGAAATTTGTTGGCCTGTAGCAGAGGGTGTACCAGAAGTATATTACTTCGGCCCATGCGGCAAGTACAATGCTCTTGTTATGGAATTGCTTGGTCCATCACTCGAAGATTTGTTCGATATTTGCGGCAGACGTTTCACTTTGAAGAGCGTACTACTGATAGCTATACAATTAGTAAGTACAACCAAAACCACCACCAAACCACAAAAACAAAAAATAAAACCAAAACAAAAAACAGCAAATTACAACAGCAAATAAGCAATTATTTATTCGAGCACGCGCATTTCTCAGTACATCTCACATATTTGTTCACGTACACAACACTGGTAGCAGTTAAGCCAAAAATTAACCAACACTGGCCAGTCAGCGCAAAATTTCACACATACCCAAAAAAAACCTGATCAAATTTTTGTTTGTGAGTGCGTGTGTGTGAGGGTGTGTGCGTGTGTGTTTTTGTAGGGGCTGCTTGGGTGAATTTATTTAGTTAATCAATCTTTATTTATCACCGATATTTTATTTTTACTTTATAATTTTGCTAACTAACAACAACGACAACAACAACAAAAGGAGGGGGAGGATGCTGCTTAGTCATATTTTATATTGTAATCTACTTACGTTCCCACCTATTCCTTTCTTTCCTCATTTGTAGACGAAACAACATCTGGTTAAGGTTTTATTTTTATAGTCCTAAGTTCTTATCGTTTTGGTTAAGCATTATCATATAACGCATTCTAATGCCATGCACATTTAAATGCCGCTATATCAAATTTAGTTGTTAACTGCCAACGTTCATTGTAAAAAAATACGTACATAATATTAAAAATAATAATTTGCATGTACATTTATTATGTAGTTGACTTGGATATATTTTTAGTTTGTATTTGAAGCGCGTCATATTAATTTTTTAATTCAAAAAAATAAAAAAAATAATGGTTTAAAACAATTCAAGATTCCGAAAACCGTTGCCATTAAACCAAGAACAAAAAAACTTCAGCTAGTTGAGACACTACAAATCCAAAATTGAATTTTAATAATTCTATTCATTTACACAAATTTTCAGTCTGTCAATGAGCACGTTAATTATGAAAATGTAATTTAATTTGTTACGGTTTGTTGTAATCTTCTGCTCCTTGGTAGACTAAATGTTTAATCCTATTTGAACAGAGCAAATACTTATCGAATTTTCTGTTTTGATCTTCATAAATTTGAAAACACAGCTCCACCGGATCGAATATGTTCATAGTCGGCACTTAATTTATAGGGATGTAAAACCAGAGAACTTTCTCATTGGCAGAACATCAACAAAACGTGAAAAAATTATACACATAATTGGTAAGTGTTTATGCAAATTTAATTAAATGTATTGAATAAATTTAACTAACCTATTGACAATTTCAATAGATTTCGGGTTGGCCAAAGAATACATTGATTTAGACACAAATAGACATATACCATATCGGGAGCATAAATCCCTAACTGGCACCGCTCGCTATATGTCAATCAACACGCATATGGGACGCGAGCAGTCGAGGCGTGATGATCTGGAGGCTCTGGGTCATATGTTCATGTACTTCTTAAGAGGTTCACTGCCCTGGCAAGGCCTTAAGGCTGATACACTCAAAGAGAGATATCAAAAAATCGGTGATACAAAACGTGCAACGCCCATTGAGGTGAGCAATTATATACAAATATCTTTTTATAATTTTATTATTTGAGCCTTACAATATTACTTACCCAAAGAAATATATTATAATAATAAAAATATATTTCGCAGAGAAGAATACATTCTTACATACATAGTTATATCAAACATAATCGAATCGTATTGGATTAATGATACTTTTTTATACCCCGAACCCATTAAAAATAGGGAAAAAATGTATAATTTATATGTGCAAATGTATGTAACAGGCAGAAAGAAGCATCCCGACCCCACAAAGTATATATATTCCTAATCAGCATCAATAGCCGAGTCGATTGATCCGTCCGTCCGTCTGTCAGTGCGTATGTATGAACACAAGAATCTCAGAACCTATAGGATTGGTTAAGAAACACGAAAAGTTATTAAAGGAGATGTATTTTGGCTGGCCACGTGTTTGCGGCAGCAAGCGCATATTGCAAGAATTTCTGTATACATGTACACACATACACATTTTAGCGCGTCTGTATTGAATTTTATCAACATCGATCGTATTGTTTTCTGTGCTGTGTGTATGTGCTGCTATTTTAATAAGTTTTTTTTTCCATTAAAATTGAAATGCTGGTATGGCTGTTAAGAAGAGGCGGTTGCAAGTAGTGCGGCCTGTTGCTATTTCGAGTCCTATTGAGAGAATTATTTTTTTAAAACTTCATTTTATTACTGCTAAAGCAAACGACTTCGAAGCGCCAGCCGTACTTGGCGTTGGTAGAAGAGGGTTCAGGGTATCCCCTAGTCGGAAACTCCCGACTAGAGCCTCTTACTTGTTTTACTATATATCTTTTGTTTAATTCAATATTATTTGTATTTGCTTATGCAAATGCTAATGAGATTAAAAATATTTTTAGGGATTAGATCATTAAACAAAACTTAAACCAGATAGTTATAGGTATGGGTATCTTTCTTATTGTGAGAATACACATCTTGCTAAATACATAATTCTATATAAATTAGATCCATAGATAGTAATACCATCATAAGATTATTCTGAATTGACATGAAGATTTGACTAGCTTCCCTATATTTAACAGTAAATATTTCTTCGTTGTTAGAATAGGTACAGATACTGCAACCGAAATACATTATTTAAAATTTCTTTTCATACAATTTGCAGGTACTTTGTGATGGCCACCCCGAAGAGTTTGCAACATATTTGCGTTATGTGCGGCGGTTAGATTTTTTCGAAACTCCGGACTATGATTTTCTGCGAAGACTGTTTCAAGACTTATTCGAACGTAAGGGCTATACCGATGAGGGTGAATTTGACTGGACAGGGAAGACCATGGTAGGTAACAAGTTAGAACATAAAATCGATCACTATGTTGCTCTTTTACTATAACTATTGTATATATATATATATATGTGTATATATATATGTATATATGAAATAGATGTTCGCATTCTCATTGACAATCACCTGAGCCGAATTCTCAACTCACATTTAATTTATAGGAGACCTAAGCCAAGCAAGACATTCCAGTATCTAACACTTGAGTAATGCGCCTCCTCTTCATGTAACTCTCAAAATGATCATTTTAAAATGGGTAACGCATGTTGAAGCCCCCGGTAGAGAGTAAAGAGTTGAAAAATCAGTAATCAAATATTTTGGATAGCATGCAAATAAGCCGAAGATGCCCATTACGATGCGAGAGTGTTAACAGCAGATGAGAATGATTGAAAATGATGGGCCAGATTGTTCAATTCAATTTCGATTATTGTTGAAGCGCGATGTTATTTCTTTCATTCCGTTTATGAATATATTTTTATAAAGCGCCATTTGCAAAATTAAATTAAAGAGAGACCAAACAAAACTGAAAGCAGTGATAAACCCCCCCCCCCCCCATCTACCAAAAAAAAAAAAAAAAAAAAAACAACCAAATATTTGTTTTTATTTATTGCTTGCAAGTTTTGCTTATTTTAACTTAATCCGATGAAGACCTTTAATTCTGTGTATATTTGAACTCGTATGTGTGTGTACTATATAAGACCAAGGACCAGCTGGATCAAATGAAGGTCATTAAAAATGCGCCGCCCTCGTATTTGGCCAAGAATAAATCCGATAAGGTATATTTGCATTAGTTCCTACTCGACAATACGTGCTAGAGAATTGATGTAATACTGATGCTGCCGTTAGGTTGCTTGTTCAGTGTTGGTAAACGCTTGGCGCAAGCTTGCAATATTTAGTTAAGTTAAGCACTAGCATTAAGGCCCAAAGAACTAACTGTTTTTGAACTCATTCTAACAGCACTATCTATTCTTTCTCTCTTTGAAATTCTCTGTCTTTTTATGGTTGTCAACAACTACATCGAAAACATAAAAAAAAAAAAACAAACCAACAAAAACGATTAAACTATCAATCAAAATACTGTTCATGTGTCTATGCGTGTCTGTGTCTAAAATTCGAATTGATCTACTGATCTACTACTGTGCATTAAATATATAATATCGATCGAACAACTAAATCTAAATCGACTGCATCCATATATATCATTGACCAACCACGCCCACAGTCAACGCCCGTCGGATCTCTGCAAACTGGCCATGAAGTCATCATTTCACCAAATAAAGATCGTCATAATGTTACGGCTAAGGTAAAGTATTCTAATTTTCACTGACAAACTGCATTTTCAACTTTTTTTGGTTTTGGTTTTAAAACCTAATTATATTATTATTCTGGTATTTACTAAGCTTACAAAATTTTTAAAACTAACTATTATAATTATATATTAGAATCCTTTATTCTCTCTTACTTCAACCAATACTTACATACATAACTGCTCTTATTTTGGTTTTTTGCTTTATGAATACAAACAAAAAATATGTTTTCAATATTTGCTCTGAATTGTTGAACGCGACTTGTTTTAGGACGTCTCTTATTTTGATTTTGATGAAATTGATAATGAAAATGAGGAATATATAATACTTCAGGTTAGAGTTAGTTGACTTGCATATATAGTTGCTGTATTATATCAGTAAGCTAACAGGATAAATGTAATTGCTATATGTAATTAGAATTAATGTAATTGTTGGCTGTAATTGTTAGTTTACATTCTGGCGCTTATCAATACTGGTTTGTTCCGATCTATTACATTATCCTATTGTTAACAAAGATAGGAGAAGCACTGTTAGTGCTTGTAGAGCTAATAATCTGGGCATTAAAGCCTTAGGCTAGGAGCTGACAAAATCGCAGACTTGCTGCTTTTTGAAGCTTGTATACAAAAAGGTGAATGGTTCTAGCCGCTGCTGCACAAACTCACACACCGCCCTATACATTCACACACACACACATACCCACACTCCTCCACAAAAGAAAATGTCCGAATTTGGGTTTGGCTTTAAGTATTATATTTAAAATTGGTTTTTGTTGTAACAACTTTAGTTGTATTGGCCGCACACTTGACTTGAACTGCTTTAGTTACCTTTACTTTTGTCACAAAAATTAGCGTCTAGTCTGTCTCTCTTGAAAACGATAAACTAAAATTTAATAATGAACAAATTTATGCATTGCTCGCTCGCCAAATATCCATAATACCATCCCGACACTCCGTTAAACAAAACTCCAACTGATCCGATCCGATCCGCTCCGATCCGATACGATTTGATCTCCGACCCATCCTACCACAGACAAATGCCAAAGGAGGTGTTGCTGCGTGGCCGGATGTGCCCAAGCCGGGTGCGACCCTTGGCAATCTGACACCCGCCGATCGGCATGGTTCAGTGCAGGTAAGTGCAGAGTCTTGGACGAAGCCGAAGCGGAAGCCAGGCAATAAATTTCTACCACATCTTTTAAAACTTTCTTTTCGTATTCTGTGTTCAGTTATCAGTTAAGTTTTTCTGTAAATAATTTCATAATTCCAACTAGTGAAAAGTGATTAGAGCGCTACCCGCAAAATATCGATTATATCGGGTGTCTATTCTAGGCTCTACATGTTCTACAAATAAATGTTCCCTGCTTTTTCGTTCTTCCGCTCGTTGAATGCCTGACATTTGTTCCAATTCTATATGTGTATACTCATCCGTTACATGTACATAAATCAACATAAGCATACATATTATATACGTTTATCCCTAGATTATTAATATACATAATTATATGACAATGATGATAATAATGATGATTACAACAAAAAAATATCTATTAATTGAATTACTCGCAGACTGTTATATTTTTGGCCTTTTCAATTCTAATGTTTTCACTTGATTTACTCTACATTAGCTCAACAAGGTACTGATTCCAATATATCCCAAGTTCGGTTTGTTTGTTCTCTCGTTCCGTTCCGTTCCGTTCCCACTAGTTATTTTTTTTCGGACATTCTTTTTTGAAATTTGAAATATCCTGCGCCGATTGTATAGTGGAATGTGCATAGCTTGGTTTCTAGTTTGAAAATACGAATGCATGCCAGCAAGATAATAAATAGAAACGTAGCCAATGTACAATTTTCTTCAGATATCTCTCAGAAATCATTTTTCTGCACTGCATGGCGTTAATCGCGCGTTTACCAACAACATGTAAACCAACTGCATGTTCTACTCACACAAACGAATGTTCACAGATCACACGCACACACACACAGACCCACCCACACCCACACCCACACATAGACAGCACACCTTTCGAGAATTCGGCAATATTTAAGAAGATCATAATATCTTACACAGTAAAGACTGATGGTTTAAATACAATCCTGAGCGGTTTTAAATAAAAACAATTTTAGAGATTAAATTCAAATTCACAAACTTAATTACCCAACTTTTTAAACTATTTGGTTTAAAAGCGTCTTCCGCTTCAGTTTCAGTTCACATAGGAAGTTTAGCTGTCGGCAGGGTGGACGCATATATGCTCAGGGAAAAGGAGTTCGCCCTGCATACATGGACACACTACTTAAATATCCATATCATTTATATCTGATCTTCGTTCTCTTTTAAGCAGTCTAGGTATCAAATAAATATCTACTCGACATATTCTATAACATTTTCTTGTGATTGCATTTTCTTTCCATACTTTTGGGAAGAGAGTCAAAGAAAATTCACATTTAAAACCAATTCTGAGATTTGTGTTATACAAAGTTTAAACCAAAATTGTTTACTGTGTACATATCCAATTCATTGGCATGCCCATTAAAAAGCAGAGACAACTGCTTCACAGCCGGAGATGAAAGCAAATCAAAACCCAAACTTATTACAGAGATTGCCCGAAGATTCAAGCTCGGACGATGATAGCCCATTTGATGCTTATTACGAGACAAGCGACTGCGACGATGGGCCCAAGAAATAAGCCACCCACTTCTACTACCACTATCTACTATCTACCATCTACTATCTTCTACCTATTACCTACAACATCCAGCTAAATGCCCAATAAAATTGCCTACCCAAAAAATGAAAACAATATGCTATAAGGTTTTATTTACATATTACATATGAAATAGTGTCAACACTGCGTGCAAGGTATTTTATGGAATTCCTGTGGCCTGTTCTCAAGTTTCAAACGATTTCTATGTCCTGCATGTTCGTGTGAGAGTGTGTGTGCTTGTGCGTGTTTTTTCTGTGTGCGTCCCTCATTTGTGTGTGTGTATGTGTGTGTGTTTGTCTCTAGTGTAATTGTGTACGTACAGCTAGGATCTACCTATAGTTAGTTATAGCTATTAGCACATAGCAAACGAGTTGAATATAGAAAGGCAATCTCTGTAGAGTTGAGATGTTTTAATAAGCACATACAGGTATCTGATAAAAACAGACGGTACCAATAATATTAACCTCTTAAAATTGAGTTAAGAGTTCCTCTTTAATTTTCAATTTAGATCATTTTATGATGGAAATAAAGAAACATTCTTTTTTCATATATATAAATATATTTCACTTCAGTGCTGTTAAATTTCATCAGTCTATTTAATTTTGGAATATATATTTCTAATATTTGCATAGACACGGACAAAAACGAAATCTATTAAACTTTGATATTTGTAAATCAATCTGATAGTTAATACCGTTGTGGTATATCAGAAGTGTATACTTATTATTACATCTACGCAAAATTCAAAGTAACATCCTTAAAGGTTCGTTTGCAACGGAACAGTGGAAGAAGCTCAGAAGGCAATCGAAAATTACGAGTGAGAGATTAAAGGTCTCCAAATTAATTCACGTTTAGTGTTAGTCACATATAACTTGGTAGTTGCACAACACTAGCCAAAACTCATCATAAACAAGATGGGCCATTGTTTTTGTTAAATTTTTCCTTTAGTAAAAGAAAACGCATATTTTTGAATAGCGCTATAAAAACGAAATGAAGAGAAATAAAAACAGTTGAAACGTAAAGATATGTAAAATCACCAAGTACTTAATATAAATGCAGACAATATGTTTACTCTATGTTTAGTGTTACTGAATGATAATCAATAGAAACTAATGCAAATAACTTTCTGCAATGCTCTGCATATTCTGCTTGTGTCCTTGTTACAGGTTGTGAGTTCGACAAATGGCGAACTGAATGCGGACGATCCCACGGCCGGACACTCCAATACACCCATCACACAGCAGCCCGAAGTAGAGCTTGTCGACGAAACAAAGTATGTTGATGATGATTTCTTGATGGATTGAGACGTTTTTATCGAATTGACGATTTAACGATTTATCGATCAACTGATCAATCAGATGTTTTGGTGTTTTTGCTTTGTCGTTTTAATGCGCATCTCTCTTTTCGGTTCTTTTTTGTAACTGTTTCTAGTGGTTCCTTATATTCCAGATGTTGTTGTTTCTTTAAACGAAAGAAGAAGAAATCAACGCGCCAAAAATGACTAGAAGGTGTACAATGTAGTCCAGAACGCGAGGCAGTCACATTGCTGCGCGCCACTTCACATTCAAACTCACGGGATAGCGTATTGAATAATCCGAGTCAGGATTACATACAACAAGCAACGTCGCAGCACACGTTGCGTTATCCTCCATCCGCGTCGATGTTGACGCCAACACCAACTACAAATACACCGACACTTCCGTTGTAATTTATATAAATACAGAAATCAGAAAATAGAATGAAAAACAAACAAAAACAAAAACAAAAAAAAATATAAACAAAAACTTAAACACCACAAAAACAAACAACATCAAAAAAAAACAGTAAAAATTGCAACAAAAAAATACAAACGAAAACAAAATAAAAGAAAAAAAACAATTTTATTATTATTTTTATTATTTACCAATTTTGCGTTTATGTTTATTATATAAATTATTATAATTATTAATTATATTATTAATAAAAACAAAGGAGAAACAAAACAAACTGCAAATAATATACGAAAAACTTATTCGAAAATAACAAAAACAAAACTGTCATATATTAAATTTCATAATTCAAAGCCAGGCAGCTCAGCGTCGTGCTAAAAAGAAGCTGACCAATATCCAATTGATCCTAACTTGTAAGAACTTAAACCGATACCAACAAATACGTGCACACACACACACACGCCACAGCGAACCACTTAAACATATTTATATATATCTATACAGATATATATATTTATCTATACAGATATATATATTTATCTAAATACTAGTGCAGCGTCAAATACAACAACAAATCATTACTTACATAAATATTTATAGGCAACAAATTGTACATTAAAATACGCATATAACAAGTATTTCATTTCAAGAACTATTGAACCTATGAAACAAATTATCTACATGTATATTTACGTATATGCCACCAAACAAAACCCCCACCCCCACCCTCCACATCCACGTCCCCCTGGAACCACACTCGTAACTCTCTTAGCGTAGGCAGCTTTTGTTTAGCTCTGATTTTGGATACACTTTTTTTTTATATAAATGTATATATATATATATATATATATATATATATATGTATATATGTATATACAGTTGAGTATATGGTGTTGTACATAATTTTTATAACTAATGCCGAAGGGCGAACATAGTGTGCGATTAATGCGCTTCGTAGTCGAATTCATTTTGTACAAGATTAGTGCATTTATTTGATTAGTGTGTGTTTTTAGGTCAATTTTACTTACGTACATTTACAAAATTTAGAAAAAATTCGCATGCTGCATGCAGCATGCAGCTGGAATTCCACACACATAAAGCCTTAACCAAAAATCTAGCACACCCTCGTTTTAGGCAACGTGTTTCCCTATGTTTTCTAATAGCTAAACAAAGCAAAAGAAATGAATGAAAATAATAATGAATCAAAAGAAATATGAAACTAAAAAGAAAGCTAGAAACTACTCAAGATCAATCACTTTATATAAATGGAAGAAGAATAAATAAGAAAAAAACAAAAATATCAAGAGAAAATAAAAACAAAGTACTGAGCTATTTATTTTGATATTACGTGATACTAAACTTATATACTTACTACACTAAAAGCTGCCTGCAGCTACGCCCCCATACCCAAACATACATAAATACCGCAAACTCTCTCACACACACATCTTAACTTCTTGAAAATATTTATACATCTCTTAATACATTTATGAAAAGGAAAAGAAAATTACTTTCAACCCATCCGAACGAATTTGTTTTCCTTCCCCAAAAGCAGAAAGCGTAAAAACAACAGCAACTCTATGATATATATTTAAAACAACATTTTTATACTTATAAATATACATACTACAACAAAAACCAATTAAGAAATATATGAAAATAGTGTTAACTTTACAAGATGCGAAATGAGAGAATAGAAAGAAACTTAACTTTCAATTTGTTTCTGCTATTTATTTCAAAAATGGGTAAACAAAAATCAAATTTTAAAACATTACATCATAATAAAACGCAAAACTGGCATATATAACATTTACCAAATTTCTTGTATAGTTAAAAAAAAATCATTTGTATTATATATGGAAACTAAACCGTAAAACACAAACAAAAAAAAAACAAAAGAAACTTAAACAAAATTATGCTAAAAAAAACAATAATAAGAAAGCGATATTTCTATAAACAGTCAAGTATAACAAATTATAAATACAAGATAATGTACTTTAATGTTGATAAAGAAAAAACATAAAATACACAAACCAACATATTAAGCGCATGTATTGATTAAATATATATATATTTACCAAATTTACAAAAAAGGCATTCAGAACAGAACTCAACAAACATATAAAAAGGAACCGAGATCGAACGGCAGGTGGATGAGCGTAGGAGTGCGGGGAGTTCAACCGGTTGGCAAGCAGTGCACGCAACGCCTTTCGCTAAATGCAGGAATAGTAGTTAACGTTGTTAACGTTAACTCTGGCAAGCAGTTTTAAGCAAATTTAACATTTAAATTTATTGCATACGCGAGCGAAAAAAACAAAAACAAAAATGAAATATTTAAGTCATTTACAGCTGAAATGTTTTAAGCGTCATTTCGGTTGACAAGTGAAAGGAAGTATGTAAAAGATAAATATTGTATAAAATGATTTATTATTAATTATAAGTAACAAAACAACAAATTTAAGCAAATGAAACAAACCCCCTAAGAAACAAATGGAAAACAGATAAAAAAGAAAACAAGCTAGAAATGAAAGCGAAATAAAAGAAAATTATTAAAAAAGAAAACATCAAGGAAATGTGTCGTGTTTTAAACCTGGGAATACAACCAAATGTGAAATACTCGAATCTACCCTGTTGATCTACAAGCATATGTTGTAATTGGAAATGGAGTTTAAAACGAAGAGTTGATGGCGTTGCTGGTTGGATAATGCAAAAATTTAAAGGATCCACAAGTTATTGACAGGGATATCACCTCAAGAATTGAAAAATGAAATTGTCGTTAGTTGACTTTGTAAAGGGGATAAGAAACGCACGATCAGGTCTTGTGTAAGCATGTGGGCCTATCTGAAGTAACTATAGACCCAGCAAGTTTTCTAAATCAACAATGTAAGATATTTTATTTAATGATTTACAAATTACTAAAGAGGGATGTTGTTCTCCAATAGCCTGTAAATAATAACTAATAATAAAAAAATGTAACTGCAAAACGCTAAAAGGATCAAACAATATCAATAAAACAACTACCCAACTATAATAAATCCGAACATCAGGTTAAATTTAACTAGAAGCCATTCATGAAATACGCAATATATTTTCCTTGAACAAATTACATATTGATTTTAATGTTTGGGCTTAATAGGTTTAATTCTAAACGCCCATGTTAAATCGTAGAAAAGCAAGTGTGTAAATGTCGTAATTACGTCACATTTGTTTATAAACTCGCTTGGGGGTTTTGTTATTACAAATGTAAACTTAACCCCAATCAACCGCATGACTAACACTTTCTATGCACAAATGAATGCATTTAATTAAACAACGAACCAATTTTCACGAATTTCCGCAAACGTGACCAAACATTTTAGGGTCCCGTTTTAAACGATTGCCAATTAGCTTAGCAACTGCTTTTAAATTATGCAAATATGTTGTAAAATTTAACTATGAAATTGTCAACAGCATCTAAGTTTTAGCATTTAGCTAAGACAAGCACCGCGAGCTTTTGTTTAGTTTGCATCAAGAGCAAAAGCTTTCGCCTTGACTGGCCAATCGGACAGCCTGAGCAGCAACTGCTGAAGTTTTCGTATTATAAAGCAGTTTGATCCTAACTCAAGCTAGCCAAAGGTCAGGCGTCTCTGTCGCACTCTCCAGCAAAGCGAAAAGTGAAGGGATGCAATGAAAAATTCGCTAGGCAAATGTTAATTCCATTGGCCTTTATGTATTGTACAATTGCTTGAAGTGTATTCGTGTACGTATGTGTGCGCGTGTGTGTGTGTGTGCGCGTGAGTCGTTTTATGTTTAGCCCAAAACAAATTGTATTTACTCAACAGGTGAACGTTCGAGTATGCAGAAGAGAGTAAATTGGAGCTTTAAGAGTATCTCTGTTGTTTACGCTTACTTAATTTGCTGCTCACGTAGAGTCGTCGCCGTCGCCGCCGTCGCGACAGTGCGAGAGTTAGCTAGCGTATGCTGCAGGCGGGCGCTGGCAGAGCAAAGCAAATAACTGCAAGATAGAAAATCGAAACTAACTAACTGGCAGCAACAGCTCCAACCAGACTCGGTTTCAGCCAACGCCAGTCAGTCTGTGAGATAGCTCCGAGCATTCAAGTCTTGTGCGGCGCAATAAAACAGAAGGCAAAAAGTTAAAATACAAAAAAGAGTCAAACAGAAAACTTTGATAGCCGAATCCCGCTTTTGTTTGTGAAAGAAAACCTTTGAATAAGAAAACTTCCACGTGTGGATCGAAAGTGAAAAGAATACCTTAAATTCGTTGACATTCAAGGCAGGCATCAGTTGGTATCCCAATGCAGCAATTGCTGCTCAGGCGACAATAACATTTTGGCAGTTATAGGCCAAAGACAAAGAGCTATACAGCGAGAGGGGGAGGGAATCAGCGCCGATCTGTTGGGACACACACAAATAACTCAAAATCAACAATGAATCAAACACAAGTGAATAATTTCTTGAAATGCTTCCTGCAAATTGATGAGCCCGTTAGCCACTTAGCGGCGCATCACGATGATCACGACCACGATCACGTTCACGATCTCGGGCATGATCACGAACCAAGGCACGACGGTGATCACGACGACGAACACCATCATGATCAAGACGATTCCGGCTCTCTGCTAACGGCCAAGGTAACCGCCATGGTGGTGCTCTGCTGCGCCAGCGCACTCTGTGGCTCGATACCGTTCCTGCTGAACCGCTATTACCGCTGGACCGAGAACCAGACGAACGCCCGCTCCGCCACGGTGGTCAAGTGCCTGCTGTACTTTGGCGGCGGCGTGCTGCTGGCCACCACTTTTCTCCATCTGCTGCCCGAGGTACAGGAGGTGGTCGAGCAGCTGCAACATTGTCAGATCATTGGCGAGCTGAGCTTTCCGCTCGCCGAGCTGCTCATGTGCTGCGGCTTCTTTCTGATGTACTTCATTGAGGAGGCCATGCACTCGTACGTGCATAGGCATCACCGGGATGATGCTGGTGCCGCCTTCGAGCGCGGCCACAGCATACGGCATAGTCATTTGCTGAAGACGGCACCACCATTGCCAGCAACAAACGGAAACTGCTCGGAGCTTGCGGCAGCTGGCCACAATGCGACGCTCTCTGTGCAGGACCTGATGCATAACGATCTGGAGCAGCAAAAGTATGGTGCAGTGCATCATCATCAACACAACCACAGTCACAGCCACACCAACGGCCATGGTCATGGACATGGACATAGTCATCTGCCCATTGGTGACAGCTCAAGTGGTTCGGGCGATATGCTAGCCTCTTCGTTGCGAGGACTCTTCATTGTGTTGGCACTGTCGCTCCACGAGCTCTTTGAAGGCATGGCCATTGGCTTGGAGAGCTCCGCCAGCTCGGTATGGTTCATGTTTGGCGCCGTCTCGGCGCACAAGCTGGTGCTGGCCTTCTGCGTGGGCGTCGAGCTGATTGTGGCCCGCACCCGTCTCAGTCTGGCTGTGCTCTATGTGCTGACATTTGCGGTTGTCAGCCCCCTGGGCATTGGGTTGGGCATACTGATCAGTCATGGCCAGAATGGAGCCGGACCCAACCTGGTGTCGGCCATACTGCAGGGCTTCGCCTGCGGCACACTCATTTATGTGGTATTCTTCGAGATTTTATCAAAGAATCGCTCCGGACTACGAGCTTATCTGGCGCTCTTTGTTGGATTTCTGATTATGTTCGGATTGCAACAGCTCGGTGAGTAAACCATTGTGCGCATGTGTGTTAGCTTAGGCAAGCGATTGCGACAGCTCTATGTTATTCTTCAACCGGAATCGATTCGTACGAATTGGAACAGGTTCTTTACACAGCATTCGTGCTTTAATGGATGGATCGACAACCTTTTCTTTATCATTTTATTTTTCGCGTTTTTAACCTTGTAACACACCTTCCCCGTCTGCGGCCTGAGATGCAGGTGGTTTTGTGTACACCGCAAACAGGTTGAGAAAAACCCCGCAGTGAAATCATCTCTGCCTCTGGGCATCCCCAACGCGCCAAAAAGAACCGTCTATACTCTACAATGACAGTCAGTCAATATCTATACCAGTTATATCTATATCTTTGGATAATATAATAATAAGATATATATATAGAATTACACATATGATTAAATCGGGTTGCATATCAGCTAGACAACAACTTAACTTTAATGCACATTGGTCGCAACTTGTTTACCCGATTAACGTTATTTTTATTCTCCTTATTAACAAATGCAATTGTGTGTCTGTCGATTGCAGGTGCTAGTGGTGGTCATGGGCACAGTCACGGCAGCAGCTGTTCCTCCTCTGGGGAAGATCACTACGATCATCATGGAGAGACAGACTCCAGTACAGATCCCCACGCACATCACACCGAAGCTGAGCAGCTGGCGGCTGCCCACAAATACGAGGAAAAGCTTCAAGTTCTACGCCAAGTAACCCAAAAGCTGCTCGAGGCGCATCCCAAACACAACTGAGGCCCGCACCTGATACATATTTAGGTGGTTCTACAAATAGGACTCACGCATAAATACTTTTACTAACTGCTAAGCAGCAATTGTAAATAAATATTGTACTATATCTATTTTATTTATCTAGATAGTATTAAATCGAAAACAAAAAATATTAAAAATAATCTTATTCTATACTCTATGATTGTTAAATTTAATTACTTACTTGTATTTCCCTGCCTTACACGGTCCAAGTTCTTTGCTGATTTGATTTTGCGGTAAGTGTCATAAATGTGTTAAAAAAATTCAAAAAAGATCTTTAAAAATGATTTTGAGCCAGAGAAATGGGTGCATGGCATATCCAAATCGCTTTGTAGAGCTTTGAAAATGCTTTTGAGGCCAATCGGACGAAAATTAAAAGTTCGCACTTGCAACACGGCAACACGTAACTACCATTTTCCGCTGAGGAGTGATAGAATTTCCGAAGGGTGCGAAAAATGTCTGAAATGAATTTTTATTTATTTGTAATGAGCTTACACCAGAAGCTTCAAGCATTCAACCATTGACCCGCATATCATATTTTGCGAAAAGATTGAAA